ATCCATAGTCCAGAATTAGGTCCCATCTTTGTACAAGGTTCCAGCCATGTGCTCAGCTCCAAAGCAACCCTTTGTCTCTCCCAGAGAGCACATGACAAGACAACAGCATTTCAGTGTCCTTCCAAAATGCAACCAGAACAGAGAGAAAGCAAGAGAAGAATCTGAGTTCTCCTGCAAGGGTCAGACAGTTAAAACCCCCAATCTAATTAGAATTAGCTGTGGCCATCAGCCAATCCCAGTAGGAAGGGGTTGTCTAACCTTTGGGGTTGTCATGGTAATGGGTGGGGGATAGGTTAGGTCTGGGGACCACCCTCTGCAGCAAAAGATCCCAAGAGTCCCACCTACCCATGGGCCTACGTGCCCGTTTGCATGCCCACTAGGGCATCTGCTCTTCTTCCAGCGTGTGAAGGAATGTTTATGGCAGGCTATAAAGCCTCTCTGACCAAATGGTCAGCCATCTGGCTTGCAACAGGAAACAAGGTATCAAAAAGACATTTCAGGGAAAGGCAGGGGTACACTCCAGGGGAGACATGAAGCCTATAGAATTCAATATTTCTATACAATTAACTCCTAGGTACTGTACGCTGTCCAATATCCATTGGAATGAGTAGGATGTTGTGATTTGCGTTTCGGTTCTCGCGGAGATGTTGATTGGAAAAAATTGTGTTTTAGTAGTGTTTACTTGTAGCCCTGAGACTAAGGCAAATGAACTGAGAGAAGCTTGGATTGAGGGCAATGAAAGAATTGGGTTGGAAACGTAGAGGATGACATCGTCTGCGAATAGACTCAATTTAAACTCGTGATCATTGATGGAGATACCTTTGTAGTCCCGGTTGAGACGAAGTTCACAGGCAAGTGGTTCCAATGCTAGCACGAAGAGGATCGGTGACAAGGGACATCCCTGTCTCGTGCCCTTGTGGAGTGAAATTGTTTCTGAGACGTCTCCATTGATTAGAAGCTTGGCTTGCGGTTTTTGGTATATTGCTCGTATCGATTTGATGAATGAGGGTCCGAATCCCATATGTGATAGTAAGGATAAGAGGAATTGGATTTCTAGGGAGTCGAAGGCCTTTTCGAAGTCAATGGCCATTAGAAGAGACTTGAACTTTGGATTATGTTGACAGTGGAGTATAATATCTATGGTCTTTTGGATGTTATCCGAGATATCTCTTGTTGGGATGAATCCTGCTTGGTCGCTCTGGATATATTCAGCAATGAAGGTGTTAAGACGAGTAGCTATGACCGGGGCAAAGATTTTGTAGTCTATATTTAATAGAGATATCGGACGGTATGACTTTGGGTCCGTTTTGTCCTTATCCTTTTTGGGAATCAAGATGACATTTGCCGTGTGCCAGGTTTGTGGCATGGTGCCTGATGTTAAGATGTCGTTGCATACCTTTAGCAGGGGTTGAGTAAGTATGTCACGAAACACCTTATAGTATTCCGGATGAACCCATCCGGGCTGGGAGATTTATTGTTTTTGAGAGATTTAATTGCAGTTTCAACTTCTTGTTGTGTTATGGGATTTTCCATCATCTCAATATGTTCAGCTTTTAAAGTTGGTATAGATTCAATAGATTGAAGATAGTTTGAGATCGATTGAGGATTTGGGTGTTGAGAAGTATATAGAGATTCATAAAAGGAGTGCAGGATTTTGATGATTTCACTAGTTTCCGTGTGCATGGTGTTTTGATTGCTCTTTAAGCATCCTATGTACCTTTCTGTACCTTTGAGTCTCCACGATAGTAGTTTTAAGTGTTTAGATTTATTGGTTTGGTAATGTTTCTTGTTATTAAAGTTTTCTTTTAGGATGTCCGAGGATTCCAGCATTTCTAGATTTTTTCAGACATCCAGTAAGCGTTTATAGACTTTTTTACTACAGGTGGCTTTATGTTCGGCTTCTAATGTCTTAATGTTATTCAAAAGTTCTTGTTTAATTTTGTGTTTTTCTTTCTTACAGGCTGACATTATGGCGATGCATTGACCTCTAAGAACTGCTATTGAAGCATCCCAGACGGTGTGTGAGGACACGTCATCAGTTGTGTTTATTTTAAAGTAGCTGACTATCTCTTGTCGAAGAGCATCTTATGCCTTTGGGTCGCATAATAAGTTTATTTAATCTCCAGCTTGGTTTTTTAAATTTGTTGTTTCCATTTCCAAGTGTGCATAATACTGGAGCGTGGTCTGACCATTTTTAAAGGCCAATACTAGATGTTATGATTTTTCCAAGCATTTCCGAGGAAACCAGTAGAAAGTCTATTCAAGTTTTAAATCTTGGAGAGTAACAGGTATAGTCTCTTTCGGACGTGTGCTGCTGTCTCCAAATGTCTACTAGTTCATGTTTTTCTAAAAGGTCCTGTAAGTGGCTGAATTTACGCTTGTAATTTGGTTTCTTGGGTGATGATTTATCAAGTTGTGGGTCTATAGTGTAGTTTAGATCACCCCCTAGGATAATAGGGCCAGTACGGAATTTATCCAATTTTGATAGGGTTTCCTGGATAAAAGAACATTGGTTGGAGTTCGGAGCATAAACTGAAGCAATAGTTATGGGTTGGTCATTCAAGACACCATTAACAAATATAAAGCGGCCAAAGTTATCTCTCATGCAGGAGTCTACTTTAAAATTTGTAGAAGCAGAAAATAAAATTGCCACACCCCTGGAGTTGCTGGAACCATAGGCTAGTAGTTGGGTCGGGAACCACTTGGAAGGCAGGGCATTGCATTCTTTTTTGATGTGGGTCTCCTGGAGTAGAACAATATTTATCTTTTGGGCTCGAAGATCGTTGGCAATTCGTTTTGCTTTAATTTTGTTTTTAATTCCTCTACAATTTAGGGTTAAAATCTTTATAGAATCCATGTTAAAATGGTGTAACTGGTTTTATACCACATATAAACAGTGCAATTTACAACATTAGGTGTCAGTAAATAATACCTAATGACCCTGTTTAAATTAAATATACCTTTATAAAGTAAATAGTTATGAGGCATCAGTCGTGTCAACCGTCTTGAACCTGTTGCATCAATAACACACATAGTTAACATTGGGTAGCTGTTCTCTATAATCCCTTTACCCCCCTCCCCCGTGCAGTGATCCATAGGAGAGAGCATCCGCCCATCTCCAAGCCCTAAGGGCTTTATATATAGGATCACTACTAACCCCCATACCAATAACAGTAATAAAGGAAAATGCATTGATTTATGGACTATGATCACTCTTCGGGACTCCCCCCCCCGCCGCCAAGTTTAAACATTAAAACATTTAAAACATTTAAAACGGCTTTCCAGCTTTGTATGCGAACATTTGCATGTCAGAAGTTTATAAATTTAAACAGATTAGTGTTGGTAAACAAGTTAGTAAAACAAATAAAGTCACAGTTCATAAGGTAAGTCTTTTACGCATGGGAATCTTACTCCACTTGGGAGGTGTAGCTTGGCGTGCTCTTTTTCTGTTGTTCTGAGGATCAATCTCCATTTCTGGAGATGTGTTGATGCCTAGTGCTATTAACATGACTTCTCCGGAGTCTAGGTCTACAGCCTGGTGAGTGGTGCCATTTCTCCGTACCTGCAAAGCTCCAGTTGGGAGCCATCTGTACTTTATCTTGGCCTCGTTTAAAAGGCTTGTAATTTTCTTGAGCGACCTTCTGATGTTCAGGGCTTCCGTAGGCACGTCAGGGAAGATGGCAACGCTTTTATCATTAAATTTGAGATTTGCTGCACTCTTTGCAAGCTGTAATATGTTTTGTTTCATTTTAATATCTAGGAATTCAGCAATTATATCTCTAGGGCCTTTTCGCTCTTTAGAGGATTGTGTGCCTAGTCTGTAGGCTCTTACCAGCACCGGAATGTTGTCGTCCTCAATTGGAAGTGTCTGCTTCATCCAGTTAGTTAAGAAGGAAATAAGGTCATCTTCCCTCTCAGCTTTCTCTGGGAAGCCTCTGTATTTTACATATTTCTCTCTTGAGCGATGTTCCGGGAGTAGGATTCTCTCACGGGCCCATGATTCCGAATTTTGTAGGCCTCGTATATCTTCATTAGTGGCCGTTGTCGCCTCTAGGGCCGTATCTGCAGTCAATGCTACGTTTTGTATTGAAACCTGCATAGCCTCAAGTTGATCGGTTATTGGTTTCAGAGCCTCGTTAATTGAGACGTGAATTTCAGCTTTAAGTTGCTTGAAAATGTCTATGAGGTCTTGTTTTGTGAGTGGGTCGTTGTTTAAGTGCGCCGGTGATGTGCTGGTCGCCATTTTGAATTTATGCGCTTAGGTTGTTCGAGTATAAATTGCCGGATTGAAAGCTCAGCGAGTGAGTTTTAAAGTTCACTTACTTGTTCAGTAAGGTTTTAAGCATCAATTAGGCGATTTGCCGGTTAGAAAGCCGTTTTTTGTTAGCGGTTTTGGCGTCAGGAACGAGGGGTTGCCCGGGAGAGCTCTCAGGAGGCTTCCGTCTCGTTCGCGAGCGAAGCCCCGCCCCTTCCCTCCCCCCGTTCTGTTTCCTGAGAACCACGGAAAAAACCAAACAGCAAGCAGACTGCAGAACAGACTTGTATTTCTGACATTCTCAGAAGTGAAATTATCAACGTAGGGAAATACCACTAGTGCCTTTTGTAGTATCAGATATTGTCTATCCAATCTTGGAAATATCAGGTCATCAGTTTCCAATTCCACACCTCTTACTATCATTGTGGCATGTTTGAGAAAGTAAAAGAAAGAGTTAATATTACTTTCTGTGAAACTGATTTGGTTCATTGAATGAGGTACAGGGATATCCATAGGAACACAAAGCAAAATGTGCATCACAACATATATGCAACAGAATTTACACCAATTTCAAGCAGTCATTTAAAAAATTAACACTTTGCATACACAGTGGTGAAGGTCCCAAAATGCGGTCAAATAGTGATCCAAACAAAAGAGCATTTTCCCATCACTAATGCACATCTTCAATTTTTGCTTGGAAAAATTGGATATGTAAAACATATCAGACTTATCATTATGCACATACCTTCAGAAATGCTGCTGGCAACCACAGTAGTTGTAAAGGTAGACTTTTGCTGTATCTGAATGTATATGCAGGTGCCAAGGCAAAAAAGATCTTAATTTTTTCAGCAAGCTGAGGCACCACAGAAAATGCCACAAAACCTGTCACAATGAGAAATTCCATTTTACATACTTACTTTCTTCGAAGTAATGCATTATTCTCAGACAGATGGCTGTTTAAAAACTTAGAATGCAAAAACAGGAAGAGAAATTGCACAATTAAAAAAAGCAGGACCCTGAAGAGGCAGCATAGAAATATTCCAAATCCATGAATAATTGCCAAACCTGTGAATTTTATCTGAACCAACCAAGTTTATGGGTGAAAACTGACTGAGGACTGTTTTTCCAAATTCAAAAATCATGAATTATTTTGGAGACATGAAAATCCCATGAAATATTCTCTTTAGAATGAATGAAAACTTTTTAAAGACAAGGTTTTACTCATTCAGAACACATAGTATAAAAGAAGAGGTCACAGTGTGGGGAAATGGGCCCCCCCTCTAGCCTGCAGTCCCTACTCCACCCTGCCCTCCAAGGTTTTTCTCAACACCTGGAGAGGCTTTTCTCCCTCCTAACCCACCACCACCACTTGACCTTTGCAGAAATTACCCCTGGGAGGGTCAGGACTCTCAGCTTCCCTTCCACGTTCTGATGCCTTGCCTCTGTGTCTCCCACTGCCCAGCATCTGGGCACCATGAGGACAGTTTACTGCCTTGTGCATCCTTGGAAGAATAGCCACTTGCCAACTGCCTGCCTTCCCCCGGCATTCGGCCAGCACATGGTCAATGGTTGCCTCCTTAGTTGAGAGGTCTGTCTGCTCTGGTGAACCCATCACAAAAGAGAGCTTCCTCCTTGCTCCCCTGAGTTTTATCTCCTCCCTTTTCCCCACCAGGTCAGGCCAGTCAGAGAAGCTCTTCCTGAAGATTCTAGACATTTTCTTCATGGAGTCTCTCTAGTATTTAATTCCTCCAAATCTCTGTTCTCTGCTTGAAGGGGGAGGGGACTTGACCATCCCATTGTCTAGACTTATTAGCATTTGTATGAAGGTGGGCTGTGGTAAGTCTAGAAAACAACTGAACTGACTTCCTCCGTTCCTGCTTGTTCTCTGCCCAGAGAGAGTGGGGGGAAACTTTTAAAACTCAGAGTGAAGGTTTTGTTCACTTCAAACCTTCAAAGACAAAATGCATTTCTTCACAGACAGCATTGAAGCTGTCATTGGTGACAGAGGGGGAGGAGCAGTGAGGGAGCAGGCTGCCCCTCAGCCTCTGACTACTTGCCTGTTTGCCTCCAGAGGAGAGGTGGTGGCAGAGTTAGCATCAGCAGTTGGCTCTCCAGCAGCACCTTTCAGTTGGCTCTTCCCCTTCCTCCCTGCTCACAGTAGGCCCTCAGTTGAAGCACCACTGACAGCGGGAATAGTCTCAGCAGTATTTTCTCATGTCCTCAGCCAGCATCGAGCAAAAGAATTTCTGCAGAATCTGGTTCAGTGTCTTAGCCCTTCTCAGATGCTCGACCCAGGTGCCATCATGGGCCTGAGAAAGGATGACTTGCCAAGCCTACCAGGGAGCCACCAACTGCCTAGTCTCAGTGGCCCTGGCCTTGGGACACTTTCCACAACAGCCCCAAGTCCAGTTCAAATTGCAGGAGCTGGGAAGTCCCTTGCAGAAGTTCATACCTTACTTCTTCCTGTGACTCTTGGCCGTCTGACATTGGCAGAATTTGTGGTTCCCTAGCCAAGCTTCCATAGGGTCAGCGGGGGTGGGCATCTGACCTCCCACCCAGGAGGGCCATTTGCCACTAGATGCCTGTGGGCTGTCTTTGGCAGCTGCCACAAAATTGTCCAGATTGCACATGGATGAAAGGCCAATTATCAGCATCCTCCAGTGTGAATGGTCTTGTTCTATGAGCCAGGGAACGGGTACCTTTTCCAAGATAATGATGGGGAAGGAGGCCTTATAATGGCCTACTTGAATTTAATTTCGTTGTACTGTGTACAATGA